CCTATTTAATTACTGTGTTGCTCAATAATACCTTCAACACTACAAGGACACGAGGAAAAGCGGAAGAATATTTTTATTCTAAAGGGAATTCTCATTCTTTATATAAATATGAAAAACTTAATAAATAAAAGTTCTAGTAATCGCGTTCGGAATATTTATAAGAATTCCCTCTTGTCGTAGATTTTTGAACAGAACCGAATTAAACTGCAGCATTTCGGACGAATGAGTTTTAAACGAGAAATGTATTAGTGAAACAAAGCGCTGTTTAGTAAAAGCCTTTTAGTAAACAGCGCTTTGTGTATAACAGTATCGTAGTACAAGTCGCCTCGAATAGTTTTCCGTGGACTCTTGTATTATGACACTCTGCTTATAGTTGTAAGGCACACTCTATAGTCTATGAAGTGTTTCTGAAGCCAAATAAAACGGTTCCCTGCAGTTATCCCCTAAAATCATTATGACGTAACCGAAATGTGCACAGAATACAGTAATACTAATTTAAATAAAACACTGAAGGTCGGATCGTAGTGAAAAATAAAGTAAAAGTATTTATAACCCTTCTAAACAAGTCCAAACCTGACTCTGATATTGTAACCTCATGCTGCTGTGTCATTATAGAATTATTCCACATGACTTATCTTGTGTCACTTGAGCTAGTAAGAGAATACTATATGGTATATGTAGGTATAAAATATATTATTTTAAAAGCAACATTTAGCAGCTTCATAATACGGTGGAAAATGAATAACTATTTTTATTACTTTGTTCGTATTTTATTAGATTTTTCGATGGCACGAAATGTTCAATATTTAGCATAGAAACAATAGCTTTTATTCGACGGAAACACAAACCAGCTCATTATTAAGCGAACATCGACAAAGCGTAAACACTAACCACTCTATCGCACCGATATTCATTTGATTTGCGTTATCACACGACGACGTCATTTAAAATACTTATATTTCTAAATTAAAAATATGAAATAAAAATGAAACAGAACATTATTTGAAAAAAAAAATATCATCAAATTGAATTAAAAATTTCTCTTGAATAAACTAATTAGTTGATTCTACATCATATTCGAGTCTATGAATCAAATAATAAAAACTCAACCAGAGGCAATTTTTGGATGGGCTTGACCTAGTTGTATCAGTTAATAGTCCTCTCTTAGAATTCATATCATTGGTACAAGCGCTCATAACAATATTTGATTTGAGAAACTTATTGTTAGAAATACAAAAAACGCAATTGTGTAATGTAAATGTGTGGAATTATATGGAATCCTAATAAGTGAATTGTAATTAATAAATAACAATATACGTTATTCAACTCAACTTAAGTTTGTTTTTTTTTGCAATTTCCTGTTGTCTTTTCTCGGTAGGTTGTATGTTTTTTTACAATAATTATAAAATATAATACTGTGCCGGGCGGGTTTTGGTATTTGAGTCATAGAGGCATTTGAGGTATAGTAAGTATATATCGCAAAGGCCGTAGTATTAATTATTATGAGGAATACGCATCATTGAAACAAGTTGATATATCGCAACTATGAAGAAAGTGGATCTAAAATCTTTTTGCCAGTAACTTCAGTTAAGGCTAAACGTCACGACATTTAGACAAGTAGGAGGTACTAAGCAATTGTATGAATGCAAAAAATACCTACAATACTACTGCGTCATTAACATCTGGTACCTATTTGTAAGTAGGAAATTAAAACAATTTAATTACATTTTTATTAATACGTATTAACTAAAGAGATTCACTAAGGCAGCGAAAGTCACGAATTATAGTACATTGTAAAGTCTTCTCTCGTCGTGGGGTATTTGTAACAAAAATCAATATTTTATGTCTAATACTAAAATAAATTTATATTTTATCTATTTTTTCAATGATTACTATATCCTCAGTACGTTAAAATTGATAATTTTACTACCTTTATATTATTAAAATAAATTATAAAGTAAAATTTACTGGGTAGAGGTATTAAAAAATAATTTTATATATAAAATACTATATTATAAATTCTTATATAATATATAATAATATTATTTGTTATATTTGTCCTTATTTAAATATACTTTCTGGTATAAAAATTCCAATCTTCTTTTGTAATGGTTCTTATTCTTCATAAATTTATCTAATAACAATGGTTAATCAATAAACTTATAATCACATTCAAATATTTTTGAAAACTTTCTACAAAATATAGTATTCCGAAATGTTGTTTCTCGCTTCTCCCTTTTAAAGCTCCTATAATTATCTTTTTATTATTGTATCCATAACAAAATTTGTGGAGTGTAGGTATGATACCATCTTTAATCATGAAAGTTTCAATTCTTTTGAGATATTATTTTTTATTGACAATTATTTCCCTAATAAAATCTTATTATCAATTTCATCAATAATCGTCAAACTTTTTTATATATTTAAGATCTGTCCTACTTTTCTCCCGGACAGTTTCTTCAAATCCTATAAAAAAAAATATTTTAAATTTATACCTAAATTACTTTTCATATAAAAATATATTTCGAAAAGGCGGATGTTGGCGGATTATGTTTTTGGTTTAAATGATAGTACACAAGATAGGCTAATATTTGTGCTATCATTTTTACCAACCTATCCGAACTTTATAACTAAAACACTAAAAAAGGAAAAATAAAACTATAATTTATGCTAAGTTTAATGTTTGCTAATAAAATTTAAAAAAATATTTATATGAATGATATACAAATGAATATAAGTTTTAAAGTACAGTACATACCTCGATCTTCAAGATCCATTATAAAAAACTTCACTTCACTTCTCAGAAATCTTACAATAGCGGTTAATAAAATCCGTTTTTACAAGGACGAGAACAAAGACTGATAGGAACAACGACTAAATTCCATTGTCGGAGGGGAAACAAAATTGAATGACACTTGTAAGGTGATCGGGCGTGACGTCATAACTATTCAACAATGAGAAATGAAGGTTCATTTACTAATTGGGTACAAATTTTGATTTCGACTTTTGGCCAGCTTTTTTGTTACAAATACCCACCGTGCGTCGTCTCGATTAATTTACTAAACAATACTTAGCAAGAAACATTGTGAAGATATGTTGACTTAAATTTAAGAGGTTATGCCAAGAGCGTTGTTATTAATTTAATTGTTACGGGAGTTAAGTGAACAGAGGAATAGAACAACGTGAATAAAATCTTGTGGGAAGTATAAGTACCTACTGTAGTAGCACTACTACGTTGTCTCTTAAACAAATATAATGAATAAGTTGAAACAGATATGAATGTATTATTATGTGGAGTAAAATATAATATTTGTTTATTGCAAACAATATTCTCTACCCTCTCTCCGTCTTACGAATTTTCGGTGTTGATATGTTTAAAATTTTATTTCGTAATTTTTATAATCTTATTTCTAAATCGTAAGCTTTAATTATCCAAAAAAGTAAGAACACATTTACGGAAAAGTAGTGTTTTTTTTTCAAAGTTTGAATAGGTGACGAGAACTAAGCATCTATCCAAGACTTTTTCAAATATTTACCCATCCTTTTAAGTAACTTATTCGTCCGAATAAGATTCCGACTGCTAGAATATATAAGCTGGAATGTAGCCAATGCAACGAGAAAAACTGTTATGCTTTCTGTTTGCGTTTTGTATTAAAGCAGAGAATAATAAAAACTGGGTAATTTTTCTACTACTTAGGAAAATACATTTTACTACTGTAAACTGTACTTAAAAATACTGTAAAATGAGGCTTTTTTATCAAAAATCTTTTTGACTCAGCACTCTGTATTCTCATTTGTTTATATGCCTTACTATGATTGTAGATATCACTCTAATAGCGAAATAACATTATAATAGAATAAAATGTTGATATTGCCTTTTCATAGATACCTAGCCTTAACAGATGATTCAATAATAGCAAAACTCTCGCGAGACGATGATCTTTCTTTTTCTCAATAAAACTAAAACTATTTTGTAACAGGAACACCAAAGATTCAAAGTTGATCTATATCGAACTTGGCGCGGTTAAAACCGCAACCCAGTAATTTAAAACTTCAATATCTGACGTTGATAAGAATTTCTTCGATATTAGCTAGTCAATTTGTCTTAAAAACAACTTAGGACTAGCAATTTATTCTAAAGGAGTATCGAAATTATTTCACTCGTCTATACATAATAAATAGCCTATCACCATTGTGTATATTTAATTGTGCAAGTCACTTTTGCAACTCTAGCTAACGTGTACCCGGTTTTTACTGTACAAGAGAAGATATACCAGCGTAATCAAGTTAGTCCCCTAGATAACCAAGTGAACTAGTGAAATAAAAAAAAGTTAATATAAAACACGTTCCCAACTAAGGGAAGTGAAAATATTACATGTTGGTTAATTATGTCAGTAGGAAATAAGAGTTATTTTTAACTAGCAACCATTTACAGCTTGTAATTCTCATTTCGTCGTTTAAAATACGCTTACGCTGACAGCTTGTCAGCGTAAATAGCATATATAAAAAAAATAATGTTTTCGGGGGTAGTTACGTGTTTCGTGGGTCGACCTCGGTCAGCGCGCGCTTTCAAAGGCATTTTGGTGCCACTTCGTGCGGGTCGGCGGGGCACTAGTTGAAAGCACGTATTAAAACGCGAGAAAGTTATTGTTCTGTGATAGTTTCCGCGTGTCTAGTGCGTTTCTAAAGAATAACTTAGTCTCGTACAATCAGTGTGAAATGTGGCTTTTTAATATTTACGGGTACTCTTTATTCTACATCCAGTCGGCCACTGGATCAGGGGTATGTCCTCAGAGAATAGAACCTTTTTTTTAAGTTAGCCATACTAAGTTAGTCGAATGTGTGTATTAACGTATGGCCTATATTCCGTCTATGCGATACAACATTATGGTACATAGTATAAGTATACCCAATTAAATAATTGAGAATTGTTTAGAACAGCTTTTATTGGATTAAAAGTATTGAAGCAAAACAATACTTCGAGAATTTTATTTCGCTCTTTAGATTAGAACGTTGCCATTGTTCCTAAGGTGGTCTCTCTTGCTAGTGAGACTTTGTATATCTGTCGAAAGCTCCTCGATTTTTTCCTCCAATTTTGATTTACCCCTGAAAATATAAAGCTACGGTTATTTATTAAACCATTTATGAAACGTACGAAAACGTGACTCGGTTATGAAACCCGTTGTTAACATTTATTTTTCAGAGAGTTTCGCTTTTGTATTGTTTATGCGTTTTACAACTGACTGCAAAAGTATCCTTACTAATATTATAAATGCGAAAGTAACTCTGTCTGTCTGTTACTCTTTCACGCCAAAACTACTGAACGGATTTGAATGATATTTGGTACACATATGGTCTAGACCCTGAGAAAGAACATAGGCTACTTTTTTATTGCAAAAAGGGGGTTGTAAGGGGTTAAAAGGGGGGGTGAAAGTTTGTATCGAAATTCGTGGTTTTTGAAGATAGAATATTGAAACTTTCTTCTTTGGCTTTTTGAGAATAGGAGTGGGAGTGGGAGTTAAAGTAGAAGTGATGTGAGGTGAGAGTGTTGCGGCAAAGTAGCACTTGCAACATAGATTGGCTGTGATAAATACGCAATTACATAATTTAATAAACAGCCTACATAATTACAAATCACTATTCCACGCGAACGAAGTCGCGGGCACAGCTAGTATTATATAATCGTTTTTAAAAAGTTAGCTAAGTACGTTAAAGCCCACACAATTGTTCTTTTTCTGAATACTCAATTACATACTCTAGTGACACTAACGTAGCCTAAGCATGTGTCATTTTACTTTTACTATATGTTTATTCTTAAGTAATTTATTATTCCTATTATGAAATATTTTAAATACTTAGATTGAGCAATTTTATAGCGTAATACAAATAAAATCTAAACATCCGTTTATCGTGCAATCCTTAAACAGATTTTAAAAAATGATAACGACGGATAGAGAGAAAATGTAGGTTTGGTGGTATCAGAATGAACGGATACATGGTAATAATGTTATTGGTGTAGACCTAAAGACCGGAACGTATTCTAGAAACTTGTTTTGTATGAATAACCGTGCACAGATCTCAGTACCAATTGAAATCAAATAATTATTCACATGCGGCGTATTGGAACTGGGCTTTGGAAGAGATTTGATAATTTAAATTTTATAAAAAGAAAGCCATGCTGGAATTGAGGAGCGTATAGGCTTATCTCGACACGAGAATACTCACAGCAAATGGACGATTTTGTCTGAATCGATCGGCTATTTCTCTTAAAGTATCATTAAATCTTCGCCTAAAAATAATTTTGGAAGTTAATCTGTTTTACCCTCTTCAATGTTCGGGCAAAAGCTCTTCTAAAAGTTATGCGAATAGAATGAAATCACAGGAAAAATACATATTACAAAAATTAAGTATGCTTTTGAAACAAGCAGATTGTTGTTTTTAATTCTAAAAAGTATGATTTCATATAAATACGAAGAACCTGTTTTCTGCCTCTGTTCAATTACGAAGTTAAAAGAATTGATTATCATTAATATTTGACTAATAATTGAAAAATGATTAATTTTGGCTAAAATCGTGTTAAGAAAAGAATAACTCAAACTGTATCTCGGGCTACAATTTTACAGGATATTCCATTCAACCTTGCATTACACTGCAGATGATTTGTATAAGATTAAGTAATACGTACACCTCGGCCTCAATAGCATCCTCCTCTACCTGCTGTCGACGAAGCAGCTCTTTTTGGCTCTCAAGGGCACGGTCGAGCCGCGCTTGCGCATCTTTGCATTGACGAGTTAGCTGTATTCGTTTCGCTGTCAGACGAACTGAATAAGAGATTTTGAAAAAATATATATAAATTTATATGAAAATACAGCAATAATATTTTAAATAAAGCCAGTATTGTGATTCTTAGAAAAATACACACAATAGTTCATAAATGTGCAGCATTTTATAAAATGTAATTATTATTGCTTATACATTTTGTTAGAGTAAAAAGTCACGTCTTCTAATAACCTTTAAAATAAGTATCGTGTCTAGCGGATATACTTCAGACAAAGGTACGAGAATATTGGCAGATAATTTTTAATGTCTTTAAAAACAAAACCAATACTCGTTGAAGTTTAATAAATTCAAATGAAAAATAGTTTTCTTTATTTATTTGAATGTCCAAATACAATTAGGAAATGATATGTATTATTTGAATATAAACTACATTTTATTACAATGGATCTAAGATAAACAAATGTTTTGTGTTTGATTTCATTGATAAAATTTTTGTGTATCGTCTAGAGTCATGTTGATAATAAAAGCTCGGGTTCCATTAGAACCTTTCTGAGTGGAATACATATTGCAAAATTTGAACCTTCATCAAAAACCGTACCTATTTCATACTAGATTGGCAGTTTATTTACCGTGCGAAAGCGCGTCTTACATATAGTATTTATTTTCTCAATTTAGCGGTATACGAATCGTAGAACCTCGAAAACGAGCTACAAAGATAATTAAATTGTTTCCTAAATTAATTATTGTGAAATACTGTATTCAGGCAACTTTTAATGAGCGTATTTAAAATTTTAACAAGGTTATTATTAACATAGCGAATCTCATTAAGGCTTTAATTTAATAATTATGTAAAGATCAATACCGTTTTGTCACAGTTGTCATATCATACAAATCAATATATTATGTGAGCGACAAATACCAAGTGTATCCAGTGGGAATCTTTCTGTTTAGGAATGCACAGATAAGACTTACCCTTAATACGATCCACTTAACAGACACAGAAATGTGTTTATCCCATGCCCGCCGTAGAAAATACAGAACAATATACATTTTAAGTTATATATATACTCCAATGAATATACCATTGTCGGCCTTCAAACGTTCCTTTTCCTCATTGACGATCTTAGCTTCTTTCACGGCTCCCTCAACTTCTTTTCTCTTTTCTACGTGATCATCTTTAACTGATACAATGGTGCTTTCCTACAAATTAATATTACGGGCCCTTAGTGTTAACAACGGGTCGTGGGTTTGGTAAGTTTTAACTAAACTCGACTTCGGAGTTCGACCTCTCGACATCTCGGTTTGAAGTCTGGTATACACCACTATGCGTCAATTTATTGAGAACTATTTAAAATAGCGATTTTTTCATATAAATTAGGCGATTGCATTTTTGAACAAAAGTGCAATGAAAATTATAAATGCTTAAAACAAAATGACGTTATTATAAGCATATCACTATTTTTCGGCTATGAAAGCCTTACACAATTTATTAGGCGTTATTATAAGTTTAGAGCTCGTGTATTGTAATAAACATATCGGAATTGCTAAAAGGAGAAATTTCATTTTAGCTAACCAATTTTAAAGCAATGTGAATCGCATCGAACATTACCTGATCAGTTATTTCGGCTGTTATTTCACTTAGATTTGTTAATACATGACAAACTTCTACTTGAAGTTCTTCTGGTGACAACATCTTTACGTTTTTAATAAGTAAATTATTATTTTAAACACTTAAATCGGATCACAACTTTCTACAATGAAGTTTCCCGCCTTTTAATCTTACAATAAATTAATGGAATTGAGTAATGGATTTCTTATGCGTCTTTTCAGCCAGTAACATTTAAAATTATTTTACCGATTTTTTTTCTTGTTATGCGAACTTATTGGAAATACTATTGTCGGCACATTATATTATTATTATTTTTTTTTTTTTTTTTGGTTATATTATTATGATTGCATGCTATAGAATAATGTAAAATACAGTTTCACTACAGACTAAACAAATTAAAAATTAAAATTTATATTCCAATTTTAAATTTTTAATCGGTGACATTTTTCAATCGATGACCAATAAATGTCAAACGTTTACTTATTCTGTATATATGTATGCTGTGAAAAAATTATCTGTGTGACATAAGAAAATTGAATACTCTTGAATTGATGTATTATATACTATTATGGTTTATCTCTTTTTAAATTATAATGTTATATAGAAAAGATCTGATATTATGCCTTGGTTAATCAATTAATAGAAACACCACATTCATGTGTAGTAAATAATGCCTAATGAAATTAAAACATGCAATGTTGCCTAATAGAGTAAATCGTGCCCATTTGCATATTTTTAATAAAGCCGGGTTTAGAAACACGCGGCATTAAGCGTCAAGTTAAGTTGTGCATTTACTGCATTATTTAATCTTAACTAGTTGAACTATATTATGTAACCCTTAATATTGTAAAATCTATATAAATTTTATAAAGCTGTAGAATTTGTTTGTTTGTTTACACGCGCTAATGTCAGGTTACTGGGGCTATAAATAGGAGCGAAGAAACAGTGGAACAGCGGGGAAAGTATTTATCTTTGAGGGTTTCAATTGAGTGCGCTGTGAAAACGGATTGTCAAATCAAAATATATGTGTATATCAACACAAGTGTTACTTATCTTATAACCTTATAAGTGTTTGTTTAACAAACTAGTCGTCGTCTTAGTAAACAGTCGATTTAGTAAATATACTAGATGGCAGCACTACGACATGTGATTGAAGAACGTTTCTTCTTTAAAAAATGTTCACTACAGTAATTGATATTAAGAAAACTTTTTATGATAGTCAGATTTGGTGAAAATGATTACAAATTATTGATTTGTATCAACATAATAATATTAATCCTGCAAACAGCAAACCGACGTTTGCCGGATCAGCAGGTACATGATTATACATTAACGCATTAAGACGGATTGAAGCCTTTAAAACAACTATCTTAGCAGTTAGCTGTTTTATCAGTCAACGAGTAATAGTCGGTTTAGAATAAGGTTCGGCATATGTAACGTACATATCTAAAATTGAAATCGCTTTGCTTCAAAAGCGAACTATGTTCGGAGTTGACAACGTAAAATACATATAAACAAAAAGGAAGGTCACCGATGACAAAAAAGAAATAACTTTTTGAGGATAGCTTTATTTTAAAGAACATGGCGTTATATAAGTAGTTCAGGTTTACGGTGAAAGTAATAATAAGTAAAAATCGTAAATATGTTTGTTAGACTTTCTGTTCTTGATATTTCAATCGAGATATATTTTTTAAGTAACGTGTAACAAGCGCCCGGCTTCGGCGTCACAAGAGTGCAATCCTGATACTAAATATACGTACTGCAGAATGTTTTCTGTTTATGTCATTGAAACTACAGTCCTACTACTACGTCCAGTTCCTCAAGCTCTCACCGACAAGGCGGGGCTGATGCCCCCTTGGGGCACCCTTAGTCTATCTTAGTTATTATTGGAGGCCCCATACGCATTCATCCATAAAAAAGCTATAGGCACGCACCGCGAATAGATATTACCGCGGGCCATGTTGATCTTTATTAAATGGACAAGCAGTATCGCTGAAAGTAAAATAGTATTTTTAATAAATACTAGCTGTGTCAGCGACTTCGTCCGCGTGAAATAGGGTATTTTGGGCATCTAAATTTGTTTTTACGAGCCTCCTTTTCAACTCTATAAATTTAACCTGTTGTCCACGACGTCGCCCGCACCCCGTTATTCTTGCAAGTTAATCTTAAAAGCTAGACATATCGTGTCGCGGGCATTTTTTTAGATCATTTAAAGATGAATCATTCTTTGATACATATTTGTTTGAGTATCTTGAACTGTGTTCGCAGCGTACGCACCGGAAATCCACAAAGATAATTTTCCTGTTTTTTTTTTTTTTTTACATTACCCGCTGTTTCTTCGTTCCTATTAGTCGCAGAATTTTTAAATTCAAACCAGTATTTCTGAGATTAGCGCCTTCAAACATACAAACAAACAAACTCTTCAGCTTTATATATTATTAAAGATAGATAGATAAAACAATAATCGTATGCAACATGTGAAAAAATATTAAAGTTTTCAAATATTAAGCATAAAAAAATGATATGGAACTTAAAAGAGATAAAATATCGCAAACGTTGTTGTTGACATTAAACTAGTACGTTAACTAATAAGTAGTACATTTGTTTATCTCGTTTTCAGCCAGTTTTTGCAATGCGAGTATAAGCGCAATAAAATGTGATAATTTACGACATTGTGAGAAATGTCTAAATTAATTCTCTAAAATCTTATGCATGTATTATACATATCGATCTTCCTTTTACATCATTTACTAAAACTGGTTCCGTAATTTAAGCTCTGAAGTCTGCATTAATATATTGTTAATGATCAGGAGTGGAATATAATAAAAAAGGCAATAATTACAAACAGATTCTATTTCTAAATTAAATGAAATCACAAGGAAAAACCAAATTATCCTCCTTTCTAATTATTAAATAACACAACACTGTATGGTTTTAAGAAGAACAGATTGACTACTTAATCAGGCAGTTTCCTCTTAGGCAAGTTATCGACACAGCCGATAATTTGAAATGAAGCGCGCGCGAGCTCTAATAGACGTGTCAATACTAGTTCTTATCCCTCCTCGATGAGAACATCTCAGTGTTGCTTTAGCAATATATTGATAAACCTTACCATTTCTTAAGTTATTAGTTCCACTACAGAAAACGTAAATCTTGACATAGTGCTCTTACAATGGAAGAGAAATAAATATGCTATTTATATGCCAAAATAAATTATAATGCATATAATATGTATCTTGTACAATAGCACTTTAGCGCACCGTTACTTTTCTGGCAAACGAAAAACGCGTTTTGCACATCTACATTGCTTTTTTAATTTATAACGAACGCTTCCGGAGACCGGCTTTGTGAGTGAGGAAGTATGAATGGGCCTTAGGAATAAAATGGTTTTGAAATTTGATAAAAGTCATTAAGCTTCTTTTTTATTATTTCTTGCCACTACATTTTTAATGAAATAAACTGTGAATGTGGGAAGTATTTTATAATATAATCATTTTGAAGGGGAGATTGACAGCATGGAATTATCCTTACTAATATTATAAATGCGAAAGTGACTCTGTCTGTCTGTTACTCTTTCATGCCAAAACTACTGAACGGATTTGAATGAAATTTGGTACACAGATGGCTTAGACCCGGAGAAAGAACATAGGCTTTATTGCGGAAAAGGGGTTAAAAAGGGGGTGTAAGTTTGTATGGCAATTCGTGGTTTTTGAAGCTAAAAAATGTAACTTTCATCTTTGGCTTTTTAGGAATAGGAAGTGGGAGTGGGAGTGGGTGTGGGAATGTGAGTGGGAGTGGGAGTGGGAGTTAGAGTAGGAATGATGTGAGGTGAGAGTGTTGCGGCAAATTAGCACTTACAACATAGGTTGGCTGCGATAAATGCGCAATTACATAAATTAATAAACAGCCTAAAAATTAAAAATTCTACCTCAAGTCACTCTTCCACGCGAACGTAGTCGCGGGCACAGCTAGTATAAAATAAAACAAAGTGTCAAACATATATACTGTCGAATCAAGAAGGTGTTAAGTTAGTTATGATAAATAATCTTTTAAATAAAACACTTTAAAGGTTTAAAACGCGATATATAATAGTTAATCTTATTTGAAAATTATTTTTAACTTCGGCCCGACGGTTCGGTCGCTTTGCAGCCGCCGTGGTCACGGGGAGACTTAATAAATAATTTTCAAATAAGTTTAACTAATATATATCGCGTTTTAAACCTTTAAAGTGTTTTATATAAATGTGTTCTACTCGCGTAAACTACAGGCAGTATGTAATAAATAATCTTGTATAATTTTTCTGAATCATGTTGGATTTCGTCTGGAAATCTGGATATTAAATGGGCATCGTGTAAAGATGTTATATCGGTAAAGTTTTACGCTTTCCATGAAGTGAAACTTAAAGTCCTTACTTGTCGTCCTCTACCAATATCCTAATAATGGTTACTTAAGTGAGTGCGCCGACTAAATCAACAGTACTTTTTAATATAAATCAAAGAAATCAAAGACAGCTCGAAGTATATACATATGTATATAGTAATAAATAGGTTTAATTGAATGTTAAACAGAAATCTACATTCCTGGAAACTACTGCATTCGCAAATATTGGCACTAACTACGAACTCTAATTATTTTCTTGTCAACGGCAAATATTACGGGACAAGCTTTATATGGAAAATGCAGTATTTTGAATAGGAACGTAATTGAAACTAATATTGCATTGATAGAATTATTTTTTTGAGTTTTCAACATTTATTAATTAAACTATTGAACAACTTTAAATTTCAATTCAAAATTTTTGAAGAAAGTTTTTTATACACTCTCTAGGGCTGCTGAAAAGCAATGTCAGGTCATACTTTATAATATCGATACATTAATATTAATATTACATCGCGTTTAATTTTATTGCACGCCGATGTTAACTCATGCCATCCGCAGAAAGTTATTAACTTCAAATTAGTGGACTTTGTGGTTCGAACACTATGTATGATAGAAATTAAATTGCTAGCAAGGAAATATATCGATGATTCTCGTTAGTAATTACGAGACGAGCTAATGTATTTTCAATTTAGTGCCTTGGGAGT